CTCTATGAGCTCTGCGCATGATATGGAAATTAACTATCTTATCAAATGCACCACAAACTTTTCCTGGTGTGTTTTCCTTTCATTATTTTCCCCAGCTTTCCTGAGGATTAATTAACAAGAATTGTACATATTTCTGAAGGTAAACAACAAGATGATTTGACATAGGTATACACTGTGAGCTGATTACCACAATCAAGTTAGTTCACACATCTGCCACCTCAGAGCTCCTGTTTCTTGTGTGGGTGGTTAAGAACACTGAAGATCCACTCTCTCAGAAAATTTTTATATATTTGAGTCTGTTGATACTCTTCCTTTCTGACTACCTTCTATCATTTTATAGCTTACAAGGTTATCATTTATCCAGGGACTTGATAACTGTCCTATTTTCTGTCATCTTATTTATAAGTTTTCTAAGCGTCTCATAAATATATTCTCCTACAGTTACAAAATTCACAGCTCTAATTCCTACTTTGTGGTTCTCCAGCTTTAACATGTGTAGCTATTTTACTGTAAGTACTTAATCTAAAGCACATTTTAAAATAAAATTTATCTTTTACAGGGCTATGTCGTATTAAAAATAATGGACTTTTGGGGCACCTAGGTGGCTCAGTCGGTTGAGCATCCAGCTCTTAATTTCAGCGCGGGTCATGATCTCAGAGTTGTGAGATCGAGCCCCGCACTGGGCTCCACACTCAGCGGGGAGTCTGCTTGGGATTCTCTCTCTCCCTCTCCTTCTGCCCCTCCCTACCTCTCCCCCCCCACACCTCAAATGAATAAATCTTTAAAAGATTTTTATTTATTTATTTATTTGAGAAAGAGCGAGAGAGTGAGAGTGAGCAAGGTGAGGAGCAGAGGGAGAAGCAGGAACAGGGAGCCTGACACAGGCAGGGCTTGATCCCGGGACTCTGGGATCACGACCTCAGCCGAAGGCAGCCGCTTAACCGACTGAGCCACGCAGGTGCCCCAATAAATAAATCTTTAAAAAAAAAAAAACTGACTCTCTAAACTTACCCTACTGGTGGAGTGAACTAGAAGTGAACTCAGGTTTACCTATGAAGATTCAACCACAAATAGCCTGTCCAAGATCTCCTTTCTCTTTCTAGAGCCAAAGAAAAGGATATGTAGAAACATCACTGCACGACTGCTTTTTCTTAGGATTTCTTTAGGTTTGAGTCCCTTTGCTATTCAAAGGGACGTGGGTCCTCGGACTAGCAGTGGTACAATCCAGTGCTTATTGGAACTGGGCAATCTCAGGCCCTTCCCCAGACCTCCCGTGTTAGAATCCACGTGTGAAAGTTTGAGAAAAGCTGGGGGAAAGAGCACAGGAATCCCCCAAACTCTGTTAATGCTCCTCCTTCTTAATCAGACCCCATCAGAAGGTAGCTCTCTCCTCAAATGTTTACCCTCAACCCTTTTTTGGGAAGTCATCTCCACACCCAGTGTGGGGCTTGGACTCACGACCCCAAGGTAAGAGTCACACGCTCTTACTGACCAAACCAGCCAGGCGCCCTAATCCTCAACCCTCTTAATGCATGCCTCTAAGTTAAAATGAGTATCACCCAACATCATGTACCTGAAAATTAAAAGCTAATACTTGGAAAGGATGGCTCTCCGTCTGGAGCCTCAACTTCATCGAGACCGGAGGTTGAAAGCTTACATGCCTCTAAGAGCCAAGCAGGTCTGAAAAATGAGTAAAACACACAGATAACGGCCACCGACCCCTGTCCTTGGGATCGAGGAGGTAAGAGAGTGGCGGGAGCTACGGCAAATTTCAGAGCTCGCCTTCCATCTGAAGACACAGCAGCTACTCGGCTCTGCCGCCGAGTGTTGCCCAACAGGAATGCAGGCTCGATGTTACCAGATCTTCCGATATTTCAAAAGAAGCTGAAAGTCTGGGTTTTTAAAACATGTGAAATCTCTCAATTTTTAAATGCTGGCAATTCACTTAAAATTTTAAAAGAACACCTCTGTGTGCCAGATTCAGCCCACCAGTTTGAGACCTTGGCTCTAGACTGATGATTTCCAAATTCTTTAAGCTTGTGTAACCCATCTGTGCTGGTTTTCATGCTTACTTGCTGGTGCACCAAGAAGAGAGGTCACATCAATATAAATGGTACAAACCAAACCACTTTGACTACTAGATTTTAAATTTTTGTTTTGTGAATATTACAAACTGCCAAATCAATAATGAAAGTGACCATATGTCAGTGATACAAATATTTCCTAGATGTGAAATACATGTTTAATTCATTCACTACATAGTCACTACTACAGAAACAAATACATAGAATACCCAGCTCATGGGTGTGCTAACAATTATGTTGGGTTCGGGGTGCCTGGCTGGCTCAGGCAGAGGAGTATGCGACTCTTGATCTCGTGGTTGTGAGTTCGAGCACCACGCTGGGTGCAGAGATGACTTCAACGAACCAACGAATGAACGAATCAATGAATCAATGAACGAATAAGTAAATAAAAAGTTTAAAAAAAAAAAGAATTATGTTGGGTTTAAGTTTTCATTCCAAGTAATTCCATAATCAAAAGGTGGCCAAATGAAATAATTTCAAATTCTTGAACGATTAAGTTGACCTGTGACAAATGCTGTATTAAACATAAGTTGGGACTCATTATTTAAAAAACAAAATATCCTCACGTGAAAACTGCAAAACTCCAATTGTCTTAAACCATTCAACTGTTCCGAGCAAACTTAAACAATGTAGTGTGAATATGCAATTTACATTTGCTTTCATTTTGGGGGCATTTGGGTTCCAGGCACAGCTGCGTCCCCAGCACTATGCTCGCATACTTATTTGCACATGACTCGCCGGAGGTGGCATAAATCACAGGCTCAGAGAGCAGACTGGCGACAGGGACTTTGATCTGCCCCCCTGAACCCATCCGGGCCTACTCAATATTGGGCAATTTAATTAAAAAGGAAAATCAACTTTTGGCTTCCCCATCTGCAAACAGGAAAAGCATCAAGGGATGGCCTACACTTGAAGAGTGTGAGACCAACATGCAGTATTCTTTGTCTTTGGCCCACTTGCAGGGGATCTTGCAGGGGCAGCCGCACACCTTGGCTCCTTGCACCCGGGACAGCTGACTGGGTCGGCCCGACCCTCTCAGGTGGGCCTACGCTCCTGGCCTAGTACTCAGTAGGGCTGGGGGAATGAACCAATCAGGACGAGGAATGAAGGAAGGTCACAAGATAGAGCTGCATCGTGACCACTGCACTGCTTCCCGTCAGGCCTGTAGATTCCCGCCACAGGGAAACAGCATTCAACACATTCCATCGAGTCACCAGAGAAACTCACTGCTCTAAAAGGAAACCCACAGATGCTAAGTTTTGGTTAAATTAAAGATGTTCACGGGGGTGGTTTAGTATCACAAAACCGCTTCGAGTACGTACTCAAAAGCCTCCAATGAAAAGGTTTCCTTCTGAGAACACGCACAGGTTCTGTGGAAGCTTTCTCTGATGAAGTGTATCGGAGTTGTAGAGGGCCAGCGAAGTTGATAGGCTGTGCCCTTCTGTGGCCCTCCTTAAACAATCTAGTCTCTGTTGCTGCGGGAAAAGAGAGGCATGGGCTGTTGGGGGTGGGGGGAGGGCACAGAGCTGCCCCGTCCGCTCCTCAGACAGAGAGCACCGTGCTCCCAGTTGCCCTCGGGCTCCTCAGAGGATGGTGAGAGTCACGGTTCTGCTCTGGTGTTCTCTACTGGAGGAAGGCCTAAGATTTTATTTGAAGACCGGTTTCTATCATTATAAAAACAGAAGTCTGAAAATTACCCTTTTAGGCAAAGGCTACAGACGACAGCCACAGCAGGGCCGAGACCCTCGGAGGGCAGAGTCGAGAATGCTCGTGGCTGAGAAGCTGCTGACGCTTTTGTCTCTGGGCCAGTTGGAAGCCCCGGGCCCTGGGAAGATCTGCCAGCTTCCATGTAATTGAGGAAACTGACAAGATTCAGATTAAACGGTCCTAAAAATCTGTCCTACGTTTTTTATCCTTTAAGGTATGAATATCTATATATTTCAAAACATGTGAAGAATTCTACAGCAAGTCGGTGTCAGGGAAACAACAACGGCCAGCTCGTGAGCCTCTACCCTCACTGAAATCAACGCCCCACATCGAATGTGAGACTGAGCCCGGGGGGCGGGGAGGCAAAACCAAAAACGCAGCAAGCCTTGGATGGATGAAAAGTGCAAATCCTGAGTAGTCCGGCGCTGGCACATGTCACCTCCTCTCCCGCAAACGTGTGGGGGAGGCTGGGGCCCAGAAAGCAGAAAGCCCAGCGCCCCTGACGCTGGGCCTGGATGAACCATCTTTGAGATTTGCAAAGGTGAATGCCCCGCCTGTCCAGGAGAGCACAGTAACCCTGAATCATCCCAGAGTTCGACGTCAGCCCTGTGGCTAAACGAAGACGAAGGAGGACATATGCTAAGTGAAAGCGTTGCCCAAGGCTCTGAACTTCGGTTCCGATCTGCAAACAACGTGCTGGCCCCCGCTGACGTAACCCCACGGAAGCCCTCTCGGGCGTTCCTACCCTGGATCTTGCGGGCCCAGCACACACCTTGGCTCCTTGCGCCCCGGACAGCTGACTGGGTTGGCCCGACCCTCTCACGTGGTCGCCTGGGCAGCAATCTCCTCCCTCGATGCCACTACTGCTCCGCGGAGCTTTCCTGCTCCCTACTGTCCACGCTGGGGCATGAGCACCTCTTGATTCTCAGGCAGACCTTCTAATAGTTCTCTTGTGCTTGGCACATTCACTTTTCGTGCCCCCAAATTAAAAGCCAATGAGATTTTTCTCCCCCCTCGAAAAGACCTTCCCCAGAGAGCTAATATTTAGGATAAGCAGGGATATTGGTTGGATCAATTAAAATGAATCCTCTTCAGTCTACTATACAAATAAAGCTTTTTTTTTTTTTTTTTTTACAGTGTCGACCCCAACATCACCCATTGAAAGGCTGAAGATCGGTGTTCGAATTTGTGACAATCAGTGAAACTTACCTCACGCTGGACGTGTGGAGACTGGGATGTAGTCAGCAAGGGCTGGACACAGTGGACAACAACTTCCAATGCGCCTAAGTCAGGAAAAAATGAGAAGCAAGATGCAAAGTTAACTTTTCAGAAGAAAAGTTAAGAAATTCTGAAAACAAAACATCCCAAAGTCTACTTCTTTTGAAATGCCTCACAGTTAACACCTTCTACTTTGTATTTACAACCCTCAAAGTTAAACTGCCAAGACGTTCCGCATATTTCCCCACTGTTTATCATCTAACATTCGCACCGGCGGTGGATCTGGCCCCCTCATTATCGGGCTGTATTAGCTCAAACACTCAGCATTGTTAGCACAGTGAGCTCATGGCCTATTTCAGTTTTAAATTAACATTTGGCAATCACCCGGGTAATCAAAACAAACGACTCAGTCGTTTAGAATAGACTTATTAGTTGAGCCTTTTTTTCCCCCCTCTTTTAACATCTTTAGAATATTTTGCCACAGGAGGGCTCGGATCCAGGCAGAATGTAGAGCACAAGTCACCAGAGGAATATTTAGAGGTGTTGCCATGGAGACGAAGTGCTGCATGACCACTGAAGTTATCTCCAATCAACAATGGCATTAGGATGCGGGCAGGCGAGCAGGCTCATCCCGGCCAGGGGCGGAGGGCTCACATCACTAGGAAACAGGTGTGCCCTGTGCTTTTCCCATCACCCAAGCAAAGACAGTCCCCTGACACGCCACCCTCCACAGAGGCACCTCGCTGCCTTACCCCGCCCGCCCCCCCATAAGGGCCGGCTGGGGCTAAGGCGAAAGGAGGCGCGTGAAGTCCTGAAACACAGACCAAGAGCACCTTTACATCAACTGTAAAATGGACATGAGCAAATGAGAACTGAGGAAAAGATGGCTCCCTGAGAGTAGGGCCCCCCATCTGTTCTGTTCCCTGCTCTATCTCCATGCCTGGAACAGTGTCTGATGGACACACAGGAGACTCTCAGAAAGTATCTGTGGAGCGGTGTCTGGGTGGTGGAGGTGGCTAAGCCTCTGATTTTTGGTTTTGGCTTGGGTTGTGAGATCGATATGGGGCGGGGGGGAGCCTGACTGACGCGGGGCTCTCTCCCTCTCTCCCTCTGCTCCTCCCCTCGCACTCTCTCTCTAAAATAAATAAAAATTATGTTTTTAAAAAGAAGTATCTATGGAACGAAGCAGGGCAGACATAAACCATGGATTATAACCAGGCTCGTGAATGCCCACCTCCCGCCCCCAACCAACCATTTCTGGGTTGCTCACCCAACAAGCAGGGGCTAGAGAGTTTTAAAAGCGTTGTGTACTGGAAAAGAAGTAGCTGGTCCAGTTAGTTCAATGGGCCGACGGGTTCATCTGTGTAGAGATCTTAATGACAACTGTCACATTGAAGATAACCCTTCCCGACTCAGGACCGACAAGGGTGCTGACTACAGGGACAGGTTCTTGTCTCCCAGATCAAAAGCCCAGAGGAAGGCAATCTGCTGCCAAGAGGCCAAGAGCTAGCTTTCAAAAGCAAATGTCTGAAAGGGACGGACTTCAAAGAAACACCTTCTAGTCCCCTTCCCACCTCTATTTACCTAGAGCTGGCATTTTCACATTCTGTCATATGAATATGTGTTACTTGTTTCAGGTTGTGTGTCGTCCATCCTACGGACCCTGAAGTGTCTTTGTCTTGGGGGCAGGGCCAGAAACCCCACCTCTCTTTCCTGACCCTACTTAGCAAGGCACGGAAACATATACAGAAAAGGCTTCGCCCCGTCTCCTTTCCCACTACCCACAACCCATTCGCACGGAACTCACTGGTTCTAGAAGGTGCCACACCCTTTCATGCTGGGGTGCGAATGCAGCATGGCACAGCTGTTCACACCTGGGCTCAAACACCGGCCCTGCCTCATATCTGCTGTACAACCTCTGAGCCTCATAATGGGAAGCTATCTCACAGAGCAGCTGTTTGGCAGGAGGGCAGCGCCTCACAAAGACAGGGCGCTGAACAGGAGACAGGCCATGATCACCCCCAGGATCGCAGGTGCACCCTAAAAATGGTATCAAACTCGGGGCACCTGGGTGGCTCAGTCGTTCAGCGTCTGCCTTCGGCTCAGGTCGTGATCCCAGGGTCCCGAGATCGAGCCCCACATCAGGCTCCCTGCTCCGCGGGGAGTCTGCTTCTCCCTCTCCCATTCCCCCTGCCTCGTGTTCCCTCTCTCACTGTGTCTCTCTCTGTCAAATAAATAAACAAAATCTTTAAAAAAAAAAAATAAAAATGGTATCAAATTCGGGTAACAATTTCAGGCGCCGCCACAAACACCTGGCACCAAATACGCCCCGTTCAGATTCAACCCAATGTAAACTTCGAACCCGAATCCATCCCACACCAGCCTTAATACACTATTTCATTCTACTCCCCCTTCTGGAATGGATTTCTCCTGGAGATGGGATTTGATACACACTGGGCTCTACCCGGGGGAATCGGTTCTGAGCTTAAAAGAAGCGGAAGAGCTTCTTCCCTAACACCCCCACCCGGCCAGGACCTTTTCCTGCCTTCTCGGTCTGCTCCCCAACCTCTACAAGTTCAGGCTCCCGAGAGGCGGGCGGGGGAGGGGCAAAAGACCCGTCTTCTAGCAACCACACTAAGACCCGGGTTCTCCTTTCCGTAGGGAATCCCTGCATGTCATGTCCCCACACACCCTCCAGAGGGCAGAAGAGAAAGGCCCAAAGGCTGAGCAGGCAGAGTTCTCACACTGGGGTCCCCCTTGGGCCCCCCCCACCCCCCGAGTTAGCAGAGCCATAGTTCGTGATTTCCCTATCAAGCACTAGACCGCCAAGGGCAATAACAACGTGCACTGAGATTTCACCAGCATCTGTATCTCCGCCTCACTTTACTGCCGGGGCTAGTGTGGCCCACTGAACATGGAGTCGGGGAGGGGAAGATGAAGACACTCGTGGCAGGTGGGAGTTGGGTACCCCTCCCGATCCGCGGTGTGTGACCGTGCCTCTGAACCGACGTCATACAGATTGTGTTGACGACTGTGCACAAGTCAAAGAATAAAAACCCAACGGCAGCCAAACACACTGGGTATAATGTGATGACAGCAAAGTCAAACCCAAACACTTTAGGGTTAGTCATGCTTTAAAATAAATCATGTTCCTCTCATCCCACCCTGACAAAATTAATAAGTGAAATTACGCAAACCATTTATATGATTCCAGAAGAAGCCAGTAGCTATGTTCTAGTGACACTGAACATACATAATCATTCTCCTTCAGGTTTAACAATAGTTTATCGGGGTCACAGACAGTGGTGACCCCATCACTACTGACAGCCAAGCTTAAACGATCCCCAAATCACCAGTCAACTGGGTGAATTACGTGGAAAAAGAAAATCCAGAGCCAGCAGCTGTTTGAACGAACCTGAAAGACCAGTTGAATCAATCAAAACGGATGAGCCCCACAGATTCATTGTCTCCTCTAAATTCTCTGAAATGTGATTGTCATGGTAACCATTCCTTAATCATGCTCTTCAGACTATTCTCTCTTACCTAAGAAACCAAAGAGCGGTGAACCCCAGACATCTTCATCAGGTACACTTAGCATGGCAACAGGCAGCTCAGACGTCTCATTTTTCCTACTTTTACTCAGGCGCTCACACTACTACGGTAGTCAGAAACACTGGCATTTGCGCTGTGCAAAACACATGTTAAATGTTACCATAAATGCAATAAATACAAATGAGCTGGCCACGGGCTCGTTTCCTTTAGCAGAAGAACTGATAAACTGGCTGTCATTCAGCAAAATAATTTCTTGGTAAAAATAAACACAGAAGAAAGATGCCTCATTTGTAGTAATTTCAACATAATTAAGATCTGTAACGTCATCAGATCTTTAACAACATATTAACTTAATAAACAAAAGCCGAAAGGATATTACGTTACAGAAATGCAATAAAATCTAATTTTGTGTTTTTATATTAGGATTTAGTATAGAGTATATCACAAAACATACTCTGGAATATCATTTATTTATTCCACACAAGTTTCTAATCTTCATTTTATATCATATATCATATATAATCATAATATTCTTCACAGTTTTTTCTTTGTTTTACATATCAATTTATTTTGAAGATCATTCCATATTGGTATACACAGAGCTGCCTCATTTTTAAATAGCTGTCTGGTAGTCCATTGTAGGGGAGTACTATTGTAACTTTATTTTTTTTTTTAATTTTTTATTTTTTTTTAACTATGTCTAGCTGGTTTTTTTTTTTTGAGAGAGAAGGAGAGTGAGAATCCTAAGCAGGTTCCACACCGCGGGGCTCAATCTCACGACCCTGAGAGATCATGACCTGAGCAGTAATCAAAGAGTCAGATGCTTAACCAACTGAGACACCCAGGCACCCCATTTTATTTTTATTTCCATTAATTTATTTTTTTCTATTAATTTATTTTTATTTTTTGAGTCTAGTGGACACACAATGTTACACTAGTTTCAGGTGTACAACACAGTGATTCAACAAGTCTACACGTTAGGCTAGGCTCACCATTATTCTTCACAATTTGGAAAGAGAAAGGTTTGATTCTTATTCAGTTTCAGAAAAGATAGGTTATATTTTTAAAAGATATCCACTAGATACACTACACGTTTAAAGTTGTGATCAGGGCGCCTGGGCGGCTCAGTTGGTTAAGCGACTGCCTTCAGCTCAGGTCATGATCCTGGAGTCCCGGGATCGAGTCCCACATCGGGCTCCCTGCTCAGCGGGGAGTCTGCTTCTCCCTCTGACCCTCTTCCCTCTCGTGCTCTCTATCTCTCATTCCCTCTCTCTCAAATAAATAAAAATCTTTAAAAAAATAAATAAATAAAGTTGTGATCACTCTAGATCTTTTCCCTAGATTTTTACAGTTCCTTCAGAAAACTAAAAAGTGTACAGCTTTACCAAAGTTAAGAGTGATGAGCCATTTTTATACCCTGCATTGAAATACACATAACACTTTAAAATATTGAATTTGTTTCTATAGGTTGCCAAACTAGGTAAGGAAAGGTGCCTTTCCTTCCAGGTATAGC